AAAACTTAAGCTCTAGAGCTTAAGTTTTTATTTTATAACTGGCAAACTTCAGCTGTAGAGCTGAAGTTTTCCGGTTACAAAGACAAAAACTTCAGCTCTAGAGCTGAAGTTTTCCAGTACAAAAGAAAAACTTCAGCTCTAGAGCTTAAGTTTTTATTTTATAACTGGAAAACTTAAGCTGGAAAACTCCTTAAGTTTTTATTTTATAACTGGAAAACTTAAGCTGGAAAACTGCTTAAGTTTTTATTTTATAACTGGAAAACTTAAGCTCTAGAGCTTAAGTTTTTATTTTATAACTGGCAAACTTCAGCTGTAGAGCTGAAGTTTTCCGGTTACAAAGACAAAAACTTCAGCTCTAGAGCTGAAGTTTTCCAGTACAAAAGAAAAACTTCAGCTCTAGAGCTTAAGTTTTTATTTTATTACTGGAAAACTTAAGCTGGAAAACTGCTTAAGTTTTTATTTTATAACTGGAAAACTTAAGCTCTAGAGCTTAAAACTTCAGCTGTAGAGCTGAAGTTTTCCAGTACAAAAGAAAAACTTCAGCTCTAGAGCTTAAGTTTTTATTTTATTACTGGAAAACTTAAGCTCTAGAGCTCAAGTTTTTATTTTATAACTGAGAAACTTAAGCTCTAGAGCTTAAGTTTTCCGGTTACAAAGACAAAAACTTCAGCTGAAGTTTTCCAGTACAAAAGAAAAACTTATGTGAAAAAGCGGATACGCTTGCAATTTTTTTTGCAAAGCGGGCACAAGTTAAAATGTGGCACAAAAAACGGGTATAGATGCAAATGCCCCCAAATAGGATGTATAACTAATGCTTGCATAACTAATGCATAGGTCCAAAATGTCTACCAAACAGGGTATTATTAATACACAAAGCTAATGCATGCATTATTTTACCTAATGCATCCTACCAAACGACCCCTTAGTCTAACTCAATCACGAGAGGAGGATTGCCCAATATGATATAAGAAAACCATACAACAAATTCCTCAACCAATGTGACACTTAACATTATTAATTATTGCCATAACTATTAAGGGAGCCGGAGCTAAATTGTTAATAACCACAACCATTTTTTCTGTTCGAACCTTGTATTCGTATTTATCTACCATTCAACCATCTACAGACACAACTGCAGCACTAACAAGCAGTAGAGTGACCTTGGAATCAGCTAGAAGTTGCAGAACACAATTACAAAGCAATTCTTATTTATACAACAACTTTACACAGGAAGTCGCAACAGATATAGATACTGACATTTATCTTGAGGGCCGTTCATCCAAGATGAGGCGATTACAGAAAATTCATTCTGCTTGGAACCTGGATGCCTGCTCTCTTTAAAAGTTCTGCAGAGGCATGCTTGGCCATCGATAGAACTTTTTCCTGCGCATAAAAAATACCTATGTCAAACTCATTGACACAGAATGATAACTAACCTAACAAAGTAAATGAAAGAGTATGATTAAGCATCTAAAAGGGGTTGTTATCAATACCTCGTCTATGGTTATAATTTTCTTATCTTTCATAATCCAACAGCCGTTGCACATAACAGAGACGATATTCTCAGTTCTCATGCAATAAACAAGGCTGGAAATGCTGCAAAGTCATCAAAAGAAACTAGTGTAACATTCTGGTGATCACTAAAAAGGATGATATGATCAAACAGGAATAATTGAAACTACACCATGTTAAATGAAACCAAGAATAGAGAACAAGCATACAGACTGCATAGTAATTTTCAAGGTAATATTATCCACTGATTGCTGACAGCTTAGTTTAGCATGATAGAGTTAAAAATAGTCAATATATGTAGTTCAACCATATTCCAGTTATTGCTAGCAGAGCTACAAGTAAACTAGAAAGCAAAAATAAGAAAATAGAAATAAAGATGATATTATTAGACGAGGGAAGTAATGAAACCCTCAAAAGAAGAAGTTGAAGAAAAGATAAAATTATTACACAGGTGATGTTATGAACCCTCGAAAGAAAGTGAAGAAGTAACATTTTTAACATAGCCAAACCTTCATTTCAAAGGTAACAGTTCAAGAAACCTCGATTTCACATACCGAAGGAAGTTATGTAACCCCTCCCCCACATTCCCCAACAAGAAAAATAGAAAACGGAAAAAGAAAGTGGAAGAAAAAACCTATAAAAAGTGAATCCTGGATTCCAAAGCAATAGTTCAAGAAACCTCAAGTTCACCCAATTGCAGTACAATTCTATCCGATTGTAAATACAGAAGGGATAAATGGTTTTGAAATGACAGTCAATGAAGTGACATCCAAAAGAAAATCAAATTACTACATAAACCACATATCACACACTGGAGAGTTCTTGTGCTCTCATATTTATGAGCCAACAATGAGAAAACAATTCCAGGATTTTCATACTAAGCCGGTTCTTTTCCAAGCACAATTGTTCTTGTATCAGTTTCATTTAATTTAAAATACCACAAGGGAACCTAGTCAGAGTTGCAGGTAAAAGTTCTAAGGGGTTTGATTCTCCAATAGTGAAGAAAGGAAAAGTAAAAAAGACCAAAAAATGAAGGGTTTTTATTAAAATACAGTAGCTAACTATGATTAGGATCTGAATGCAACATCATGTTTAATTGATCCTTATGAATATGGACAAATTCTCATAATGGTTGAGAGGGAAGCGTTTGAAGAGAAGTCATCTAGACAGAAAGTATAACAGGGAAAAAGGACCACTGACAGCTAGATTAGAAAGAGAGAGAGAGAGAGAGTAATAGCAATACGATTGGAATCAGAACTTTCTAAAACTGACCTGAAGGGCTATTGATGTATAGGCTTGGATGAAAAATACATACGAAGATGAAACTTTATGCACTGGCTAAGCTAGCTTAGTGGCACAACTTTACGTGAAAAGAGGGCTGTACTTAAAGAACACTTGTGCTAGAGGACCTAAAAAATTAATACGAGTGGCAACTGAGGAACTGTGTCAATCAGATCAAAGATGGTCAACTTGTTAAATAGGATAATGGAGTGATCTAAATAGTCTGATATTGATGCAACTTCTAGAAAGTACTTTCCACCAGAATGCATATCACAAAATAGAAGTACATATAGATGAATCACAGGAAATAATGTCCCTCCACATTCTGCTTATTCTCCATTAAAATGATCTCATACCAGTCATGAATTGGCATCATGGACCAGGAAGAAGGATTGACCACAACGATATCAGCCTGCAAAGTAGCTCACTATAAGTAAACCTGTATGAAGAGATCCAACAGAAGCAAAATCTCGTCATGCTTCCAGAACCAGGAGCAAAAGAAAATATAGCAAATAAATAACACCTAGGCGGAAGCAAGGTGCCCAACCTTCTTCCCAACCTCAAGGGAGCCTATTTCCTTGTCCCAAAGTACAGACTTGGCACCATTTATTGTGGCCATTCTGAGGATTGTTTCAGCAGGCAAAGCTGTAGGATCAGTGGTTCCCTTGGAAAATACTTCACGACCTTTGTTTACCAAAGAAGCCAGGTACATCTCATCAACTGCACAAAAATAAAAATGGAGCATCTCAACAAATGTAGTAGCTCAAGAGATGGATAACAGTGAGCATGTGAATTTTGCTAAAGAGAAGCAAGATAAATGAGAATATCAGGAAGCTGCTAAACTCATTAATCGTAACGACCGGTCAGTCGTTCTGAGAGTTATAGCCCCGTTTCCCCCATTTATGTTTCTTTATGTGTTGTTCAGCTGTGTTGATTTGTATCGAGTTGGTAGGTTTGGGTTCGGAGTAGTTTTGGAGTGAAATGATCACTTAGTCTCTTAGTTAGAAAGCTAAGTTTGAAAAGTCAACCGGAAGTTTGACTTATGAGTAAACGAATTCGGATTTGGATTTTTATAATTCGATTAGCTTCGTTGGGTGATTTTAGACTTAGGAGTGTGTCCGGAATGTAATTTGGAGGTCCGTGGTAGAATTAGGCTTGAATTGGCGAAAGTTTTAAGTTTAGAAGTTCTTAGGCTTGAATTTGAGGTTGATTTGGTGTTTTGGTGTTGTTTAGGACGTTCCGGAGGTCCGACTAAGTTCTGGTAGTGATATATGACTTGTTGGAATTATTGGTTGAGGTCCCGGGGGCCTCGGGTGAGTTTCGAATAGGTTTGGGTTGTGTTGCACTCGTTTTTCTTATGTTTCGACGCTGTTTCTTCAAGCATAAATGATATCATATTGAACAAATGAGCTCCGATTTCTTTTTTTGATTGAAGCACTAGATCCGTATCGTAATTACGGACCGTAGCAAAAAGAATCGTCGAATTTGGACATCGTATGAGGATTTTATGGTCATTTTACTAAGAATTAGGTCGCCAGATTTTTCAGATTAATTACAAAATTGCCACTGACAGCGTATTTAAAAATCTGCACTATTTGCAAATATTGAAACCAACATATCTAATTCATTATAAGGTCAAAGTGATTCAAAAGCCTAACTTGACTAGAATTTCACAAGGAATCCATTGGAGGCATAAAATACGAGTTTCGGGATCGTTTGGCACGAGAAACGAGGCAGAATAGCTGGCAGAAAAATATATAAAATTAGGGTTTGTTCATTCGGTCATATTTTGAGTTGGGGAGCTCGGATTTGGGCGATTTTGGAGGCGATTTTCACCACATGGATTGGGGTAAGTGTTCTCAACTCGATTTTGGTTATATTTCATGAATTCATCTTCGTTTTTGGGATTTGATTGATGATTTCAAAGTGAAATTGAGGGAGTTAGGACTTGAGTTTCGGAGAGTTTTAGGTAGGGATTTGAGGGACCAAACGGAGTCCGATTTTGATAAATTTTATATGGTTAGACTCGGGAGAGGACGAGGATTATTATTCCGCCATTTTTGACTGGATTCGATACGTGGGCCCGAGGGCCGGGTTTTGGCCGATTTTAGATTTCTGGCATATTTATGTAGTTTTTATTGTGGAATTTGATTCTTTAGCACATGGTGATGGTATTAATTTGATCATGGTTAGATTCGGAGCTTTTGGAAACCGAGTCCAGAGACGAGGGCATCCCGGAGTAGTATTTTACGCTGTTAAGGTAAGTAACAGTTATAACTCTGGCCTTGAGGGTATAAACCCGGAGAATTTGATATCATGTCATTGTTTGGAGGTGATACCCACGCTAGGTGACGGGTGTGTGGGTGTATACCTTGAGGGATTGAGACTTGGTCCGTCCTGTGAGGCCTCATGGCCGTCATCTGTGTTTACGTAGTTACTTGTTGTCGAACTTCTGTGCCTTCATGTTAGAGATCATGATTAGGCTTTATTCATGCTCACATTATTATTACTCAGTCATAGAAATTATTGTACATGTTTACTTCAGTCTCTATTATTTGCTAATACGCTGTGATACTTGGTGTGGGCTGTGTTCCCTTATTTGTTGATGATGGTGAGGCTAGTGAGGTACATGATTGAGTAAGGCCGAGGGCCTGGTTGTGAGGATATTAATACCATAGCACGTGAGTTGTCTGCGTAGCACGTGAGTTGACCGTGCGGGTCCAGGTATTGATACCATAGCGCGTGAGTTGTCCGCGTAGCACGTGAGTTGACCGTGCAGATTCAGGTATTGATATGATGGCACGTGAGTTGTCCGTGCTTAGCGCTTGGGCTTTGGGAGCCCTCCGGAGTCTGTACACCCCCCAGTGAGGGCAGAGTGTTAGAGTGTATTGAGTGTTGAGTGCCGAGTGCGAGTGATGAGTGATGGAGTGACACTGCTGTGAGGTTGCATTTACTTTTGTTGTTGCTGCATTTATCTGTTAAATTTCTTTGTGGCATTTACTGAGTTATGAAATTTACCTGTTTATTTTTAAATTGTGAAAATAAATAATTGGACTTTTTTGCTTAACTCGTCACTACTACTCAGTTCCTTAGTTATTTCTGTTACTACTGAGGTGGTTGTACTCATACTACACCCTGCATTTTATGTGCAGATCCAGGTGAGTTAGAGCGCGGCGATCGTTGAGTTCAGGCCGGCTATCTTTGGAGACAGCAAGGTAGCTGCTAGCGTCCGCGGGATCTTGTTACTCCTCTTGTCATTTCTTCTTTTGGACATTTGGACAGTTTATATATCTTAGTTTATAGTTTTAGACGCTCATGACTTAGTGACACCCTGATGTTTGGGACTCGTTTCCGTATTTTATATTGATTATATTTAGAGTTGATTTAGTTTATAAAAAATTTAAATGTTGAAATGTTTTTATTAATTTCTTATAATCGGTTTAGTAGTAATATTTTGGGAAGTAGGCTTGCCTTGTAACACGATAGGCGCCATCACGACCATGGTTAGATTTGGGTCGTGACATTAATAGAAGGATGTGCTGAGAAAAGTCATAAATGGTTGATATTTCTATACATTACAAAGCAAATGAAAATCAAAAACTGAAAGGTGGCATTAACACAGTACCATAGGGAGTATAGATAACTACAATAAAGAAGTGAAGAATGGAAACATATTAAGAGTTGCACCACATTAGTACCAATGCTCATTCTATTGTTTGATGGTGCACCATCTGTACCCAAGGATACACAAACACCAGCACTGAGCATTTCCCTGATGGGGGCAAATCCAAGCATTCTCATTGCAGCAGCAGGACAATGTGATACTTTCACTCCAGCCTTTGAGAGACAATCAACCTGACAGAACAGCAGCGGACATACAGAAATTTGAAAAAATGGCTTATTATAGTAGCAATCCAATATAATTATTTGAAATAAAATCAGCAGTAAACATTTTTGAAGAAAAAAAATCAGCAAAAAAATATGCAGCTCAAACATACAAAAGTCAGATAAAAGTTATTTCCCGTGACAGTTGGATACAGGCTAAGTAAAAATTTTCTAAGTTTTCTTGAGCTCTAATAGAGTTTGGCTAAGCAATCTTTAATGAGTGTATAATCATTCACAAAAAGGGGCTTTGAGAATTTGCTTTTGTTACTCTAAAATTAAGAGTTTCATCAATTGTTTTCTTTGTTAGATCTCTCATATAGTAATGAGGCATGCTTGCAAAGTAGAGAATTCACTCTCCTTCTTTACATTGAACCAAGATGGAAGCCAAATCTGAATTGGCGTAACTTAAGTACTTCTCTTGCGCAGGAAATGAACCAAATAAGGCTTATTAAGTCAGTTTACGGCAGCCATAATTGAGGAACTTCAGTCTCAAAGAGTTGGCAGGAAAAATGTAGAGATCATGGGTGGTTGAATCAGGACCATTGTCAGGGATGACGGTGGCAATTTTGATGAGGTCAGGAATCGGGTACATCAGTTTAGTAGCAGTAGCAGAAATGGAATGCAGGTGGGATGTGTTGATGGCAAAGTCGTCTAGTGATACAGTCTTTGAAACTTAAATTAAAGTTTTTCTATTTCACCAGATTTTTTCAAAGGCAGCTAACCATTGCTTATGCTACTGCAATTTCATATGGCTCAATACAACAATTATGAGCGTGTGTTCCTGGCGTTTTTACTTTTAATGTTAGTCCATCCGATAAGCTGGTATACATGGCAGGTGGTCATTTCGGCCCCCTCAATTTGTTCTCTCTTTCATTCCTTTTTTTTCCTCTCACTTTTCACCAGCCATGTTACCAATAAACAAACTTGAAAAAGATACACAAATTAAGCAGGCCAACTAGTACAGACAGATATCTCAGAAGAAGAGAAGAAGCTTACCTCTTCCTCGTTGACCCAAACAGTATGTGCTGCAAGCAAATTGTTCTGCAGGAACTTGATTTTCTCGAGATATGTAACAGTTCCATGATCAACTCCTCGAGTTTCAACAATCAGTTGGTTTTCGAGGGGTATCTCTGCGATATGCTGAATAGTTGAGAAATTAAGGCTCCAGTGGTGTTGATAAATCCTTTTAAGACTTTATTCCCCTTGCACACAACATTCTTTTTCTTTTTTTCCTTTTAAGGGCAGTGGAATCTCAGGGGTGAGGGGTTGAGGTTGGCTTTGGACAAATGGCTATCATTCAACTGTAATGGAATGCGCCCACTTATAAAGTCTGCAATGTAAACCTAGTTTCTTATATATATATATATATATTCCCTTTGACCCCCCCCCC